GTATCTACAGTATGAGAGGGGAAGCTGCAGCATGAGCATCATGAAAAGCCCATGTGTTCACCTGCCAGGTGAATATCTCCCTCGAAGCACATGGCTGTGGTGTCCACTGTGGACACTCTGCAACCTTCCCAGTCCCCACTATGCCTCCTCCCACGGGGAGGTTTATTTTTAGCCCGTCTTCATGGCAGATGGGTCAGATTCTGTGATGCTGTGGATGCTCATACCCCACCATTTCTCTGGTTAATCCATGCTGCTCAATTCAGAGGTGTGGGACTATGGAGACAGCCAGGCTCCATGCAGGCAAATCTTTGTGGAAGATGTGGAGTCTGGTGTTTGTATTTCATCCTATCAATAGTGCACCTGCAACTCTTATATAACAGGATGGGCTCCAGGAGGGGAGCCCAGCAGTAAAGCCAGTGCAGACTTCAGCATGGATGGGAATGATCAGGTGCCTTAATGCTCCTAGAGTTATTTGTGTTTGTTTGAATTTTGCTTGTTTTATTGATTCAAGGTTAATTTCTTCATTCAGTGCTGACATGCTTACTTGTGTTATCACATATGGGACAGGTGGCATGAAATACTTATGCAGCTTTCAGCATGCATCATGTGTTAACGGTGTTTCTGTGGCCTTCCCCTCCTGAGTGTTGGACAGAGATGGTGTTGGTTTTGAGTTTCTTTCACCAAGTGAGCCCATGTGACTGCTTGGCTGGGCCTCTGTATTTTCCAGAGTATTCAGAAGGTAAAATAAGGTTAAAGATAATTAAAACTTCACTATCAAAATTTACTATCTCATTGGTCCTGTTCCCCAATTCAGTGTAATTTTGTCTGATAAATACTTTTGTTGTTTATCCCACTACCCCCACCCATGTGACAAAAGTGTGTTTTTTTTGTTTGTTTGTTTGTTTTTCTTTTTAACAGCTTTTAGGACAGTGGTTTGTATTTTTATGAACGTGCTTGGGATCATGAATATGATAATAGCTCCCCCAGTCCCTCACAAACTGGATGAATATCACGTCCACATGTAATCTACTCAGATTTCTGTGCAGTGAGCGCAAAGGCCAAATGGGTCAGTTTGAGACAGCCAGGTCTGTTTTAATGTGGCTCCCTGCAGTGAAATATAAGGTTAACTGGTGGGTAACAGGGTGGTGAGAGAGAACCACAGTGTTGTGATTTGACCCCATGAGAAAACAGGGAGAGCAGGGGCACGGGCAATGTCAAAGGGTGTGTGGATAAAGGCCCTAATTTGCTCCATAGATCTGTCGTTTACATCTTAACCACATCCCAGCAGTATGTGCTGTACACCATAGTGATTGGACTGAGGCATTTGTTATGATACCATGGGACTTGCCTTTGAACTCCTAGCATCCTCACTGCAGTTAGGCCAACAAATTAGGTCCTTGTACCATTTGATCAGGTATGACCTCAGTTGAACGTGTTAAAATCACACCTGTAGTACAGGACAACATGGCGTTGTCTGTTACTACAGAGAAAAGGTTCTGCTCATCTCCATCTTAACTAGGGAGTGCTGTCAATATTTTTGATACTGGTATGCTTGGATTTTCACAGGACATACAACAGTCTAACAGCGATTCTTGCTATTTTCACTAATAACAATAGGTACTTTGAATGTTTAAGACTGTAGAGTCCAAAAGTGAGTGAAGTAAACACTTTTACTCTTTATGAGAAGACAGCACAACCCCTCTTGCTGTTTGAATTTGTGCTGTCCTTGTTCCAAAAGAGAAAAGCGATGCCAGTTAGTTTCCAAAGGTGAATATTGGCATTTGAGTTCCATGGCCAGCTGGTGTAAGGAAGGGGTGTCTATGTTATGTTACCCCGTCTATATCCTCAGCAAGAATGTCACAGGTAATATGCCTTCACTGACATGCAAGGTGATATATGTTGCTGTCGGTAAGGCTTTTGAAATCTAATGTCCCATCCCTCTTCCTCAGTTTTCAACATGTCCACAGTGTGACTGAACAAACACGGTCATTTACTGAGTTTACTGTCTTCAGCTGCACTCTTAAAAACAAACCAGTACTGGAACGTAATCACAGCATGTGGATTGCGTAGATTCATATTAAGCTACCAGCAGAAAAAATATGAAATCAAATGGACAAGAGGAAGGGTAGTAGGTCATCGTTTGCAGCTATAAATGCTGTGAAAAAAAAAAATCAAGTGCAACAGATTCACCAGCAAGTCTGCCTGCTGTCACCACTTTTGTGCACAAATGTAATGAATGTTACACAACACACACAAATATATTTTGTGTACACAGTTGTGGAGCTTTTAGACTTATTCAGAATTATTATGTGTTTAATCCAACCTTCCTGGACTCATACAAGTTACTGTATAGATTAAGATTGTACATAAAAAAGAGGTTTACCCTTTGAACTTCTTCTGAGATGATATAAGGATAATAGGATAATAGTAATAAGGATAATTACTTTTACTTAATCTGTTTTTCAATGTATGTCTTTTAATTATAATGTAGTATTTTTACTTTTTTGTACTGGTAATGACTCTGACTACTTCTTCCTCCACTGAATCAAACAGTGGCATGCATTATGTACTTCAGACAGACAGGACTGTATTGTCTCCACATCTTTTATGATGAGTTTAAGCAAGTTTATTTTGACTGATACTATATATCCCAGTCTTGCCTGTGCTCTTGGCTCTTTCATGCATAGAAACACTGATAAATGCAGCTACAAAATTTAACACAATTTACTGTGGGAGACAAGGCAACAACGTCTCCAAGATAACTTTTTGAGACTGGCTGGCTTTCAGATGTTGGATTTAGCTTTTTTAAAAAAGACATTTGATGGCTTTAGCAGCAACAGTGTGATGTAATGCAACCAGGAAATGTTCCCCATTGGCCACAGAGAAGCACATCCATTCTCAGGATGTGTATTTTAAGGTTGGCTCATGGTCCAAGGCAGCAGGACCCATGGCTCCAAGAATGGGGGTGAAATGGGATGATGAGGGGGGAAACTAGGGCTTGGAGGAGATTGTGAAGGGAGTAATAAGTAAGTGCAGGGCTGCACAGGTTGCCTTGTGACTGAAACAGTATTGAGAAACTGTTATAGGTAACTGGGGAACAGAGAGACATATTCTGCTGTGTGTTTGAGTAATTAGGGCTGGTGGCTTTGATGAATGAGAGAGTTAAGGAGGAAGGATTGAAGTCTGTGTTGTATGAAAGAAAGCCTCAAGTGTCATGGAGCAGGATGGTGTAGGGTTGTAAAGTACCGATAAGGGTGCAGAGGCGGAAGCTTAGTGTGTTTGGGGCCCCATGGTAGTGGAGAGAAATGTAGGCTCGGTAAGATCAGTTGGCCTGCTGTCCTGTTTATCAGAGGGATGAGAGGCACAGAGCGAAGGCTCAGCCAGGAAGGAATGAGCAGACTCATCGCGCTTCTGTAACACCACGCTCCGTCTTGATTGCCTGTAGCAGCTGGGCAGTATCTGTGTGACCGTGTGCGCCTTGTCACATGTGTGAATACATAATTTTCTGTTCAAGTGAGGTGGCTTGAGTGGATATTATTCTGCACCAAATCTGTCTATCCTATCATGCTGACAGCTCAGTCTGCCTCTGTGTTTTTATATGTGTGAACTCATGACCTCTTTTGTTTTCTGTTTTAGTGATTAATACCATGTCTGCCTACTCTGTGTTGTCTTTAATTTTATTTTCAGAAAATGTGGACGGTAACATTAGGTTTAATAGACTTTATTGCAAGTGATGTCACAAGGCAAAAGCAAAAATTTGATGTTCTGTAGGATGTAGAAAATTTTGATTGATCTGTGTTTGTGAGGTCTTGTGTTGTACTACAGTGCTTTCAAACAGCTTTCCTGAATTTTTTTCTCGCTGGGTTTTTGCCTTGAGCTAAACTTAAAATTTAAAATACCAGTACCAGTACTTGGATTTGACGTGGAGCCTCTGCGATGCTAATATGTAATCTGATGTATAAAAGTAATGTCGTGGTCGCCTTGGAACGGTGGGAAAGTTCAAGCTTGCCTGAGTCCTGAGCGTATCTACCTTCTTGATATATTTGTGCTTGTTGTGTTGCGAGGGGTGCCCCTGTCAAAGGTGGAGGGCAGGAATGAGGGAGGGTGAAGAGTCTGGACACGGATCAAAGTAACTAAGGCTTGTGATCATTACCAGCACCCAGGATACATATGGAGACATGAACTTGAAGTGCCATGGCCTCCTACTGTTTCTCCTGGTGACCCCTTAAAACAAAGTTGTGTCTACACGTGAAAGGTTTAAAATATTTAGAGAAGAGTTATTTTCCCTTTAAACTTTCAGATTGTTATTCAAATAATTCACTGAAGTCAGAAGAGGTAAAACTATCTAATATTTCTCTTGGGACTCATCTGGGAGGTCCCAGAACTCAGGTTGCATCACACTAGTAATGAAAGGATTACTATTGGGATTTACTCATCATAAAATGAATTGGTGATACTTCAGTTTGTCATTAAAAGTAATTTATTGTGCAAAATTATCACTTGATATCACTGTAAATGTAATGCTGTAGGGTTTCTGACTGCTGGTGAAATCAAATGTTAAAAAGGTTTGGCTCTGTTGTTATTGGTATTTGTGTGCCACAACAATTAATCAAAATATTTTTTAAGTAATTTCCAGTCAATCATAAATGTTTAATGTGTTTTTAAAGTTGTCAAATCACGTTTGGGGGTGACTGTGGCTGATAATGCATTATTGCATGATCTCTGTTTTCACTGATCGTCCTCCCTCCAGCTCCTTCTAGGGAAACCCCAGTGAGGTGGTATCCCTTCGCGATGCAAAGATGGCGACCCTGTTCCCTCCCCCAGGCATCGATGTGTTCCGCCCCTTCACCCAGGAATCACTGGAGGAGATCGAGAGGCACATGGAGGAAAGGAAAAAGGCCGTAGAAGTAGAGGGCCATGAGGAGGAGGAGGAGCCTGCAGCCCCAAACCCTGATCTGGAGGCAGGCAAGAACCTGCCCATGATCTTTGGAGATCCTCCACCAGAGCTGCTCAACAAACCTCTGGAGGAGTTGGACCCCTTCTACAAAGCACAGAAAGTTAGTCTGAGCACATCTGGGCTCACCTGGCTGAAACATAAGCCACTGTGCACACTTGGTGTTTAATGAACTTGAGCCTGACTTCACATGACCTTAAAATACAACAGGATGTATTTCTTAACTGAAATTTCTGTTATTTACAACTGCATACGATTTCCCTTACACAAAGTGTACGATTTCATTAGCGATATACGTTACTGTTACATTTTTAAATATTACTTTAAGATTGTCAGCAGTATTTTTGAAATGTACCCTACAAATAATCTCTGTATTTTTCAGACATTCGTTGTTATCAGCAAAGGAAACACAATCTTTAGGTTCAACGCTGAACCAGCTTGCTACATTCTGAGCCCCTTTAGTTTGGTTAGAAGAGTTGCCATCAAAATTCTCATACATTCATATCCTTTGGATTATGGATATAGACTAAAGGGCGGGATTGTTTGCTTATACATATAATGTCCCTGTTTGTTTCCTTAATCCTTAATTAAATTATTTAGCTTGTTCATCATGATAACAATTCTGTCGAATTGTGTGTTCATGACAATGAGCAACCCACCAGCTTGGAGTAAAACTGTTGAGTGAGTACTTCATCATTGTACTTTAGTTTACAGTAGTTCCATAACCCTACCTTTACTAACTTGTGTTGCACACTTTCTTTCTATAGGTATGTTTTTACTGGAATTTACACCTTTGAGGCAACAGTCAAGGTGTTGTCTAGAGGTTTCTGTGTCGGATCTTTTACATTCCTCCGAGATCCATGGAACTGGCTGGATTTCATGGTGATCAGCATGGCGTAAGTATCTGCTTGTATTTTAATTTAACTGTAGCTGAATTTTAAAACAGAAAAATTCTGCAGAGATTCTTAGAACATCAACATTTTGAGTCTATAAATTGCTACCATAGAGAAGTTAGCGTTGGAAAACTAAACATTTTTTAATCAAACTATTAGCTACAATAAAAGCTCATATTGTGCACATTTTAGAATGTTTTATGCAGTTTATATGGACGATTCTCATAGAACTGCAGATTTAAATAGGAAAATTAAAAGATGGTATTTAGGTATAATCTGGTTATTTGTTTTCATTCATTGCTTTAATTTATATCTTCCCACAGATACATCACTGAGTTTGTTGACCTTGGCAACGTGTCAGCTCTCAGGACATTTCGTGTACTTCGAGCCCTAAAAACAATTACTGTGATTCCTGGTACTCTTTTATTTAACATTTTACTATACTGTGTTTTACTATGTTCTTTATTAAGTGATTAGTTAACATGAGGATGCAGTTTTACTGACTTCAAAATATTTTGTCCTTTGATTTTTATATTTATGTGATTAAACTGTTCTCTAAAGCAGCAGCCTGCAGCCTTTTTGGCTGGTGACCCCTGAAAACAAAGTTATATTTATGCGAAAAACCTTGTAAATTGTGACCAACTCAAGCAAAAAAAGGATTCCTCCTTATACAACTGGTTAAAATTACTCTATACAGCACCATAAAGATGAAAAACAAAAATCTAAAATTGGTTTGCAGGAAGATATTTTTTCAGTTTCTCAACCCTGGTAATCATCTTGCACACTCTCAGACTGGGTTGGGAACCACTGCTCTGGAGTGCATCATTTGTTATAATGGCGAGAATGTTGTGGTTGCAGAGCAGTGATATGCCACTAACATGTTGCTTGGATTTTGTCAGGTTTGAAAACCATCGTGGGCGCTTTGATCCAGTCCGTGAAGAAAATGTTTGACGTCATGGTTCTGACTGTTTTTGCCCTTGCCGTTTTTGCCCTCATTGGCCTTCAACTTTTTATGGGACATCTTCGTCACAAATGTGTGCGATGGCCCATCGACATGAATCAAACTGAATTTTTTAACATCACATCAACATTTAATGACACTATGTCATTTGACAATGGCATTGGTGCCAATGACACGGCATTTTCCAACAGTACCTTCAATTTCCTGGAATATATTGAAAACATAGGTATGCTTACCAAGTATTATGTCTCTAGTTTAAGCTGACATTGTCCACAATGGAATATAGATTTCACTGTTTCTTTTCATGTATGGCTATAGGAAATCACTATTATTTGGAAGGCAGCCAAGATGCTCTTCTTTGTGGAAACAGCTCTGATGCTGGGTAAGTGTTTTCCACACCACAATGCTAAATTTGTCTGGTCATTATAACTTTTACTATTACTTAACATCAGTTTCTTGTGCCTTTGCTATATAACCACTGCCATCAGTTATACAAAGATGTTCAGAGTCTAGGAGAACAACTGTAGTGAGCTGAGTCTTCTTCATTGACAGAAAGTGCCCAGATGGATACACGTGCATGAAGGTCGGGACAAACCCCAACTTTGGCTACACCAACTTTGACAGTTTTGGCTGGGCTTTCCTGGCCCTCTTCAGACTCATGACCCAGGACTACTGGGAGAACCTTTTCCAACTGGTTGGCACCTCTTTCATTTGTTACTAATAGTTTGATATTTATTTCTAACTTCTTTAGTTTAAAAATAAGGTTATAAAAAGAAATGTGTCCTTAGTTCTTGTAGCTTCCTTTTTACACAGGTCCTGCGGTCAGCTGGAAAGACGTACATGCTTTTCTTTGTGGTGGTTATCTTTCTGGGCTCCTTTTACCTCATCAATCTCATCCTGGCTGTGGTAGCTATGGCTTATGAAGAACAAAATCAGGCCACGCTGCGAGAGGCCATCGAAAAAGAGGAGGAGTTCCAGCGACAACTAGAGCAACTCAAGAATCAAGAACAGGTATCTATCACAAGTAACAAGGGTACATCAAACTAGTCGGGATGCACTGACCTAATTCTCTGGATCCATATCAGTGCCAATACTACCTTATCGAGCAGATCAGACATCAGCCTTGAAATGGCAATCCACAGTAAATATATTATCTTTTACAATGTCATTATAAAATTGTGTTTGTGCTACCAGTTACATTCCATGAATCCAATTGATGCAATTTATGGCACCACAGCAATTCTTGAACTCATGTTGGCATATATAAAACTGATTCCAATGTGATTCATGCAGTAAAAATAAATTTGAGAATAATAATACCTGCTAATAATGTTTGCCAAACTTTTCATAGCCATTTTTTTTTAGCTTTTAGGACAGTGGTTGCTGCTGTGTGACAACAAAAATTAAGTTCATCTTGTTTTGTCCCTTAGTGTATGACAAAATAATCAAAACTTCACCTTTTAAATTTGTAGTAAAATGTATGCATGGCTAAGCCAAAAGTGTTAATCGTCAACAGATAAATCACATTTTCTATAGTAAAACTGAATTTCTTACCTTTTACCTTACAGGCCCAACTTCATGGGAGCCAAGCCACTCTAACCAGCAAGAAGTCGCTCAGTCATCACACGCTGTCTGATGATGAACGGAGTCTTGGACAGGAGGAAGATGTCAAGGATTGCAATGGGAGAGTTGTTCCCCGTCTGATCATCAGAGCGCCCACCATGGTTGGGGTCAGTCAGCACCGTTGTCCAGTTACAGTTTGGTTAGACAATCTACAGATATAAATGCTGATTTACTGTGTTTTAAAAAACCTTTGGTCTATAAACTTTGGTTTCTGCTTCTGAGGATTCTTCGTGAGCTTACAACACAGAGTTTTCTAACACATTTTACAGTCTGCTGTAGATCATGAACTCCAAGAGAAGTCATCAGGCTCTGTGCACAGCATGCTTCATCTGGATGAACCAGGCCTTGTTCAGAAATCTGGTAGTGCTATTACTGTGCTCACTGCGACTGCTATGGAAGGTACGGTAGACAGAAGATAGAAACTTCACTCTGATAATGTACCTGTAATTGTACAATACAGAATCCCTTGTTATAATATTTACTTATGAAAACTTCCTAGCTTTGATTACACTAAAATAAGGAAATAAGCAGATGATGCCATAATGTCTAGTTCAGGGTACTGAAAGCATCTGAAGCGCCTTCAGGGAATCAAGAAGTCCCTGAGGCTTAGTTGCAGATTCTTTGAGATGATGCTCTAATGTGATTTGTAATTGCTTAGATTATCAAGCAGTTGATGACACTAAACTAATTTATCTAATTTGCATCCTTATTATCACTGAAACAGAAACCACATGCTTGATAGACTGATGCCAGATTATTTGTTTGTTTTGTCTGCCTGTGTCTAGAGTTGGAGGAGGCTCAGAGGCCATGCCCACCTGGCTGGTACAAGTTTGCTGACATATTCCTGAAGTGGAACTGCTGCACGCGCTGGGTAGTCTTTAAGAAGTGGGTGCTTTTTGTGGTGATGGACCCTTTTGTCGACTTGGCCATCACCATCTGCATCATGCTCAACACCCTCTTCATGGCTATGGAGCACTACCCCATGACCCCAGAGTTTGATTACATGCTCTCAGTGGGAAATCTGGTGAATATGTGTCATGTGAATTTTAAAATGTCATTGCAGAAATGTTCTGACATCTCATATATGTCAGTTCTTGTAAAAAATAATATCTTTACCTGTTTAGGTTTTCACTGGGATCTTCACAGCGGAAATGGTCTTCAAGCTCATCGCCATGGACCCCTACTATTATTTTCAAGTGGGCTGGAACATATTTGACAGCATCATTGTCACTCTCAGTCTGGTGGAGTTAGGGCTGGCAAATGTCCAGGGCCTGTCTGTCCTCAGGTCATTTCGTCTGGTGAGAAACACTGACTGAATTTATTTGTATCCATTTACCATGTGATTTTATTTCCTGTGTTATTCACTGTCTCTGTCTGCGTTGGAGATAGCTTCGTGTCTTCAAACTTGCCAAGTCCTGGCCCACACTCAACATGCTGATCAAGATCATTGGTAACTCAGTAGGAGCTCTGGGCAACTTGACTTTGGTGCTAGCCATCATTGTCTTCATCTTTGCCGTGGTGGGAATGCAGCTCTTTGGCAAGAGCTACAAGGACTGTGTGTGCAAGATCTCCTCAGAATGTGAGCTGCCACGTTGGCACATGACCGACTTCTTCCACTCGTTCCTCATCGTGTTCCGCATCCTGTGCGGGGAGTGGATTGAGACCATGTGGCACTGCATGGAGGTGTCTGGAATTGCGATGTGTTTAGTTGTCTTCATGCTGGTCATGGTCATTGGAAATCTAGTGGTGAGTACAACTGTAATTCATTCACTGATATACAATCTTAAATCAGAAACATGACAGATCTGTAACTTTAACTAGACACTGGTGGGAGCAAGTTGCATGTTACACAAGCAGTGCCTTGGGCTTTGAATTTGATTCTGTGTGTGTGCACATGTGTAACTCTTGTGTCACAAGTGGGGTCAAGTGTTTTCTGCTTTCAATCTGGACTCAGATGGTCACAAATGCAAGTATTTTTCTCAGCCATTGTGCAGTCTTAGCATTGAAATAATTTGTTAAAACATGACTTTCTCAAATTTCTTGTCTGCTGTTTCTCATTTTTTCATCGTTTCAATTCTATTTTACGTTCAAAGTAAAAAACATTATTCCTATCTCGTGGCTGTCTTCATAGTGCTTATTCATAATGCAGTAAACCATGATTTGATGGTCATTCTGGAACTCACAGGTGCTGTCTCTCAACTACACATGCAGTATCTCCGTCACTACTGTGAAGCTGTAAAGCTGGGAAACTCTTTTGTAAAATCTTTCTAAATCCAAGTTCTCCTATTATAATTCCAGGAGATTTTATTATTATATATTAATTACAGTATGAGTAATGCCTAAATGTACAAGCAGAGTAATGTACAACATATGCTTGCACCAAAATGTGAATTCAAAAATGGCAAAACAATAAACGCAGACGCTCAAGATTCTAATCTAAACAATATCACTCCATATTATTTCATATGATATCTGCTAAATTGAGGATGAATGAAGTGAAGTGAAGTGGGTGAATTTGCTTGAACAGATCAGGTTTGTGATGCTTAATGAAGAATCTTGAGTGTCTAGAGTATAAAAATACTGCCCTTGACATTTCAGCTTGGCCTCATAGAATAGGGCCATGCAGATGATCACTATCAGACCTCATTTCAGCATTGGATTTAATGTGTGGAGCCAAAACCATTTCCTGTTAGGGTTATTCATAGATATGAAAAGGAAATGGCTCATTGTCAAGTACTGACAAACAAATTGCACTGGCTGCACTGTGCCAAAATAATCATGTTTTTTTTATGTGTCTTACACTCTGCCCTCAGCCTTCCACCATTACTCCAGTGTACTGTATGCTCACCCCGCACATAAATGCACACTATTTGCACTGACATTAAGACAAATAGTACTTACACACTTCATGGGAGGGGGTTTCTATTTAAACCTAATGACTTGATTCACTAAACAGTGGTTTTGACCTTGAGTATGTGCTAAGATCCAGCTCAAGTAAGCACACTGCCGCTGAGGGAAAAACACAGACAGCTGAGCAAGCAGAGCACAGGTGGCAGGAGGACGGGGTGCTAAGGAAAAGTCATTTGATAGCAGATTGAACCGTAATTGATGAAGAGGTAATCATAGTAGGCCACCAGTGGCACAGCATATGGAGTAATACAGTATTTAACCTGCATGGTTAAGGACATGTTCTGTACCGGAAACAAATTCCTTGTGTGTAACATATTTGGCCAATAAAGGTGATTATCCTTATCATCTTATGCTCATTATCTTTTCTCTAGAGTCCATTTATAGTCAAAATGGCTCCTTAATTACCAAGATCCCATTTGGATTCTTTATCAACTTTGACCGATCTATGTTTTTGCCTCTTTGCCTAATTCTGTGAAAAATGTTATCATTTTATTCTCATCCACTGATCACAGATATGAACTGAAAAAAATCTAATATTTTTAAATATGACACTTCTTATGAGCATAATAAATAAATGTGTGCATTACTTGCAGAGTTTTTGTTTTTACATCAAGGTACAAGAGTAAATAGTTGATTTTTCTGCACTTGAAATATCAGATTTACAGCTGAGTTCACAT